CTCAAGACAATGCCTTCAGCCTTTGAAACTGCATCCATTGTAAACAGCTCTGAATATTAACACAGCCCAGAGTCCTGTTCGCTTTTAAAAGACCCCCAGGGTTTCAAATTGCAGCCGTTGAGGAGGAGAAAGGTCCCAGTAAGTAAATGTCACCAAGCTCATTCAAAAGGAGTTGAAAATTAGGCTTGCTCATGAAACTTAAAAGTCCTTCAACCTATGGGGTAAGTTAGAGGAATCCCTTTGAGTTTTAAACAAATGAGAAAAAGAAAAAGAAAAAAAAGACCCTGGTACAACCAACATTATTTCTTGTGTATAGTGACTTTCAAATCAATGCATCCCTTTTCTAGATGTCCCTCTCCTGCGGCTGTCACTGTTAAAATAACCACAGGCTATTTTCAACAAGCTCCTTCTCCAGCTAACAGAGCTTCGGGGCTTTAGCAGGTGCATGAAACCGGGCCAGGTGCATTGTTAAGCCACACAAAACCCTAGCGGCTCTCTGCATTCCTGTCCACCCTGAAAGGGAGGATGCTGAAAAGACTTAGCACCAAGGAGACACCTCTGCAGGATGGGGAGAGGCCCTTCCATTGTGAGCACGGTGTCTGAGGGAGAGAAAGGTCAGCCAGAGGCCATCCCAACGTGCTCAAGGAAGGCTGTGTGGGGAACCCAGGCAAAGGAATTAACACTGCAGAGAGAGAAACCTTCAGGTTGAGGAGCAGAGCTGGAGGGCGCGGACGCTCGTTCACCCACTAGGAACCCGCTCTCCTTACACTGCACTGAATCGTCTTCATCTTTTTGGATAATACGTTCAAAAATCCGAAGTTTGTGAAATCTAGTGACCAAATGTAATTATGGAAAGAGATGAGCACATTTCTTTTTAAAACAGTCCCTTGAAAAGTGGGCAAGAACAGCTCTGACATATCCTAAAGGCCAGAGGGACACTGTGTGCCAACACAGTTCATTTACATTGGTCCCTGGCAATCTCTGGGCACTTCATAATTGCACAGTACTCAAAAATTCGATTTTACGGCCATAATTTCATATCAGAGGGACTTAAATAGCATGCCTTTCTCTCAAGGCAACCAATGTTATTTGCCAGAGACTTCCCCTTACTCAAAAAAAAAGTGTCAGAGAACTAGTGTTCCACCATGGAGGGGACGTGAGGCCCGGCTTCTGACACTTGTTGCAAAGGAAGGGACTCTGAGTTCAACGAAAGCTCCGTTAACCTTTGAAAGTGCTCAATCCTTTCAGATTTTCTCCCTGTCATTGCCCCATGTTTATGAGGCTCCCTCTTCCAAACGACTCTTTACCCATCCCCACAAATCGGAAGATGTTCAGGGTCTGCTGAGTTCTTCTTAAATGACATTGAGACACAAAGAGGAAAAGGGCAGAAGGGAAGACCTCAGGACAATCCAGACCATAATCTACTTCTTAAAAAAAAAAAAAAAAAAACACAAGCATCTCAGCTTAGGTTCTGGAACAATTCGGTCATCTGCACTTTCAAACTAATTTGCATAAACAGGATGGGAAGTATTTTCCAATCCCTTAATTCACAACACTCTGCACACCTGGGCCTTCCAGCACAGCTGTAAAATTTGAAAGACAAAGGCACTCTTTGCTTCACAACTACAATGGCAGCCAAGGCTTGTGTTTATTTTCTAATGTAATAATAAGCACCACTTAGGTGCCCAAATTGACAAGCTTAGATTTAAGTCACCCAGGTTTGGTCCTGCAAGTACATAAGGAGACAAAATAGAAAGAGACCCAAATCAATATCTTCATCCTAATGTGGCGCAGGATAACCACACTTGGTGTCCTTCAGTCAACGTCCTTGCTTCTGAGTGCCATGGCCCCCCACACTGAGACAGACCCTCAGGGTTGGTTCTTCCCCCAGGGTCTGCCTTCCTTCCTATCACAATCCCATTAGGCCATCATTTAGTCCCTGGAATCTGTAAGCCAGCAAACTTCTATGCTCAACTTCATGCCACAGATAGAAGTATAAGGTAAGTTGTATTTAATACTTCTTAAACAGCTTCTGAAGCCATGCTCTCAAAAATAATTTCAAAGAAAGCAAACATCTGAGTTCTAAGAAGTTCAACTTCTTCTACGGTTCTGGGAAGTTGGAATAAGGCTTGGCAGTGCTTGGTGCTATTTATGAATGTGCTGGTTGGACTATGCCAATCTCACCTACGTAATGGGACGGCAGACTCAGTGATGGCGCGACTACTACAACTATAAGTTATTGTGCTGAACAAGTTATCCTCAGGCCCCAGGAATGAACGTATTTTTCCCCTCTACCAGCACCATTCCATTTCTTCTATTCAAACTGCACTTACATTCACTATTAAAAACTTTCACTTTCCTGACACTAGGCCTAAGAGCAACTCCAAAATTAGATGCACTGTTTACAAAAGCAAAAAAAAAAAGAAGCTCCATAAAGCCACAGGTCCCCTTCTATCTCCAATCTACAGCCTGAAATTATTTGAACTAGCTGCAGTAAATCTAGTTCATGGGGTTATAAACTAGCTCAAAGCATTTCTAGACACAGTAGATTCAAAGAGTATAAACTTGGTGAAACTACAAAATACTTTATCATATTATATAGAGAGATTTTCTCCCCTAAAGTCTTGCTAACTCACAGCCAGAAATATAAACCGTACACATATCCTAACGGAAAATTTCTAATAAGGCTAATAACTTAAATGGAGAAATCTGAAGTCTAGGAAAAAAACCACATTTGCTTGATTTTTCTTTAATCAGAAAAAAATAACTTCACAAATATTTTCCAAAGGATTCCCATTTTGTCCTGAATACCATATTGCCACATACTCAGCAGAAGTCACACTATTCACATCTTGAAATCTAAGCAGTTAACACCCTATAATCAGTAGAATCAAGCCTGTTAAAGCTCAAAATACCTAGTTTGGTATTTACTGATCATCAAATGTGTGAGTGAAAAAAGAAAAGACTGTAATTTTAAAGGTATTTATGCCATGTGAAAGAAATGTCATGCAGGCAACAGAAAGCCCAAAAAATGACCAGTACTTCTGCTCCAAAAATTAAAGGGCAAGGCAGACCAGATCTTGTGACCATAGGAAAGAGCAAATAAGAGGACACCCTGTCCTCTCCGGGAAGTCACCACTTCTGAACTAAGTGTCTTCCCCACAATGCCACTGACACGTGGCATTAATAGTCACTCTTCCAACAGGTGAACACTTACGAAATTATTCTGATACTGCCCACATGACTTTAGTTTTTTAAGAGTATGTAAAGAAAAAACCACAACACCCCAGACTGCCCCAAGGAGATAAAAATACTACCTAAGGCAACGCGGGGCTCTATCTCCCATTACTTAACACAGCCACTGCCTGAGTTCAAACCCACACTAAGACCGCTGGTTTTCACTGAGTCAGTGATTTCACAGAAGCAGCAGTATACTGAAGAGAAAACCTAAGCGTAACTAACGGGTCCAGCTTCAGAACTCTGTAGTACTTGATCGTTAAGTAACGTGTAGTGTGGGCCAAGTTAAAGATCTGTGCCCCGTTTTCAGAGGTACAGGATCTTCACATAAGAAAGGAATTAACTTCTCTTCTTTCCCCTCAAGGCAGCCAGAAAGATCCCCAGACCACATTTTCTCAGATCAAGCCACAGGTGTTCATTAAAACTTGTGTCACCAGTATTGTTCCTCGTTTTTAAACAGTGAACGTCAAGCCTAAGGTTACTGTGCCTCTTCTATGTTCTAGGAAAGACGTCCAATTATTCAACTGAAAAGCAGACTATTCAAGATACGCCTTTTCTGGAAGGTACTAACAGTTCTGCAGAGATGCTAATTACTGATAACTGGACAGGATTTTTGACTCATGGACCAGATTTTTTAGAAGTGAAAAAAAAAGGCTATTACATTCTACCATATTTACAGAAATCTAATGTATTTTTTTCCAGCCTCCTGTAAGAAGCGTCCCACTAAGTTCTGAGAGGCCAAAATCCTGCCAGCACAGAAAACAGCCTCTTTCAGGTGAAACAAACTCTGCTTAAATGAACCAGGTCCCTGGCACCCTCTCCTGAAGTAGCACTGCTCCAAAACTAACTTGCACCATTTATAGAGGACACATGCTGAAGGGTGGGCCCTACCCCACTGGATCATCAAGCCCAAAGGGGGACCTAGAAAAAGAGAGGAAGCCTCTGGAACACAGTTCCCTAAAATGCCAGCCAGGTGGAAAGGGACGAACTCCCAGGAGTCACAGATCTCCAGGAACTCTCAAAGCCCCCTGATGCAGGGAGCCTCGAGGGAAGGCTGCCTTCTGCCCCAGCCAGAGCTAATTCAGGCCACCACGGTCCTGGGGGATGAGGAGGCGACTACACACACGCTCTCACTAATAAATAATGTAAATGGGAGACCGGAGCCAAGAGTCACCTTCATTCATTCCCCACTGGAAGGCCAAGGAGCTCAGACACCGGAGAGTTGGGTTACAGGAGGGGAAAAAGAAACACATACCCTCAGACCCCCAGACAAACTTCCTCACACTCTCCCCGCTCCAGATGTTTCCCACTCTCTCCACACACACATTCACACAAACACGCTCACCTCCAGAATCTCACTCAAGAACTTCCAGATCGCCCTCACGCTCCACGGCTCATTCACCTCCAGACCCGTGTGACCATGCTCGCTCACCTCCAGACCCCCAAGACCCATGACCACTCACCTCCAGAGCCACCAGGGACACGCTCTTTTCTCCTTCGGGCCCTCGCCACCCACGCTCACTCACCTCCAGCCCCTCACGACCCACGTTCGCTCACTCCCGGACCCCCACGAGGCACACTCTCTTCTGCACACTTCTCACGCACGCCTCTCCCTCCGGACCCCCGTGGACGACCTCACCGCTACGATCCCATGCTAACAGTTTCCCAGCCCACACAACTTCACACATACCTCCCTCAACCCGCACCCCTTCCCTGTCCCCAAGTGACAGCGCCCCGGGGCTCGGGGAAAGGGCGGCACTCACAGGCTCCGCGTCCAGGCGGGCAGGTCTCCGGGCAGCGCCGCTAACCCGCGCCCGCCGCAGTCCAGCGAGTCCCCAAGGCAAGTGCAGGCGGCCGGGCAGGGCGATCGCGGGCCGGCCGTGGCCGTGGCCGTGGCCGGCTCCGGCAGAAGCAGCAGCAGCAGCAGCCCCAGGAGAAGGCAAGGCGAGCGGCGCGGGGCCCCGAGTGCGCCCCGGACCGGCCGCGCCATCTTGTCTGGAGCGCGCTGCGAACTCCCGGCGCGGGGGCTGCGAGGGCCCGGGGGGCTCCGCTGGGCTCTAGGCTCCGCGCCGGGGCATGGCCGCCGGCACAAGTTGGCTCCGCGGCTGCGGCTCCGGCGCTCAGCGGGTCCCCGGTGCCCGGGCCGCTCCGCAGAGCCAGGAGGGGGCCGCGAGCCCCGTGCCCATCCGGGCCGACCGGCCCGTGCTCGCTGCGAACCCCACGGATCCAGGCCAGGGGTGCTCAGCGGGCACTCTCCGTCCTCCGGCCGCGCTCCGGGCCGGCTCCCGAGCCCTAGAGCACGCCAAGTGCCGCCGCCGCCGCTGCACGCCGAGGGCAGCGCCGCCGCCGCCGCCGCTGCAAGGCAGGCGCTCAGCCTCGCAGCCTGAGCTGTGCGCCCGAAGGCATCCTCCTCTCGGCTCGGAGCGCCCAGCTGCAGCCCCCGGGCCGGACGGCGCGCTCACGCCCGCACCGCTCGCAGGGCCCCGTGCGCCCTGCTGTCCCAGAGTCGCACGCAGAGCGCGCGCGCGCAGTTCCGGGCTCCGCACGGCACCTCCGCGCAGCGAGAGCCCAGCCGACCTCGCGGCCGAACAATCAGCCGCTCGCCGCTCGGCTCCCCGCGGCCCAGCCCGGGCCAGTCCCCGAGGCCCCGCCCCCGGCTGCTCGCCCTCACACACCCCCTGGGCTCCGCGCCTCGCGGCCTCCCGCCGGCCCACGTTGGATGATTTGCAACAGCGCCCCGCCACGCCCCACGCCTGCTGCTCATTGGCTGCCGGAGTCCACGGCGGCCAGCCTGGAGGGCCATTGGAGCGCTCACCGTGATCCCTCCCCTCCCGCCTCTCCAGCCGCCCCGCCCCACTCCCTTTTCCCACCCAAGGTGTGAAGGGCGGGAGACAGGGAGGAGAAAAGGAGAGAAGGCCTCCGACTCTTAAAGGGGACGTGCTGACTGTTGGTAGAGAAGGGGGATGCGGGCAGGGGGAGAAGCGCAAAGATCTGCCCTCTGGGTCTAGAGGAGGACAGAAGGTTGCTTAAGAGGGTAACGCCCCCGCTTTGGAGCTGTCTGGCCCCAGAATTTCTTCCCTTCTCCGCAGGCTGCAAACAGGGCCGGGGATTTAGAGCAAATCTGCACCCATTTTCCAGGTGCCCTCTAGGACCAAAGACACGGATTTAAAACTTCACAGATTTCCTACTGATGGGACATCTTTAGTTATTTCATTAGGCGTGGCAGCCTTCCTCTTCGCACAATCTGGAGTTCCTTTCTGCTCCTAACTGTTCTTGACCTCTTAAATCCAGCAATATGCCCTTGATTACCAAAATAAATGTGTACTGCAGAAACCAAGTCTCAAAAGTGCACACACTCCCACTCCCGCCCTAGTTAATAGAAGGGGACTTCTGAAAATGCTCCAGTCTTCAATAAAGCCGTTGCTTTGTTTGTTTAAATCAGAGCCTTTTAAAGTTAGTTTTCAAGATGACATAGAGTACTCTTAAGAGACAGAGTAAAAAGTAAAAATAATTGTTACAAAGCTTCTAATTTTGGCTCTTACATGTCCGAACATGGTAGCCATGTGTTATGACAGTGCATCTAAACAGTAAGGCTGGCGCCCGCGGACACACACACACACAGACACACACAGCGAAAAAGGGAAAAGATTAGCATGGTAATATATAGCTGCCTCTTCCGGGCATTTTTGGTTTGCTGATGTCTCATGTCCCTTCGCAAGAGTACGCAAGTTTCTAACATAACTGCACACATTGTCAGGAAAATTAAGCAAGTCAAGTTTGTTGAAAAACATTTGCTCCAGCATATGAAATCTGACTTGTGTTTTTATGGAAACGGAGGAGAGGAGATGTTTCTCAGGAAGAAAAAGGAAAAAAAAAATAATGTTAAGGGTTTTGTTCCATTTTTTACACATTCTAAGGGGTTTGCTTTAACTGGGATGTTAAACTTTCCCTCGTCCACAGGAGCACCCCTTTTCTTTAACCAAACTTGGATTTGGGGCTTGGTAGTCAAGTGGTTGCTGGCTTCCTTTCTTCTTATTCCCTCCTCCCCATTCTTCTGATTCATCGTACTATCAGACAATGGTGCCTCATTTTTCTTTCTTTCTCTCTTTTTTTTTTCGCCTGATCCCACCCATGATGCCCAAAGTAATGTTCAAATATGTGTATAAATCTATCCAAATATGATTCCTGAGAAACATCAACAGAAAAATGCTGCCCCTCACCCATTCTACCCAGAGCTTAAACCAGCTTTTATATTTCATTTGTAATCCACATAAACGTGCACCTTCCATCTGCACAGGAAGGAATAGATCTCTTTGTTGTAATGCCTTTTGGTAAAGTAATAATAAGCAGAGAAATGGAATTTAAAGCACCCCAAATTTATGAAGCCCTCTATGTCAATCTTTCTTATATTTTTCGAGACTGAAGAATACGAAACAGTAATTTAATGCAGAATACCCATGAACATTTCCTTAAATGAAACTGTCAGATTCTCCTTGCCCCACCCACTCCCCAAAATGAAACAGCATGTTGCTCAAAAAGAAATTGAACTCATTGAGCTTCTTGGGCTGCTGACCTAAAATTATCTTTCAGGTTTGTTCCATTATTGGTATTGTAAAATGGATATTTATTGTCCAAAGTTTTCCCAGTGCTTGCGGGTGTACCTGTGCAATGCTCTTTTGGGCCACGAGAGTTCTGGAGGATGGGAATTGAGAATCTGGAAGGTAAGAGTGTGCATCCCCTGTGGTCTGGTTACCACGCAGCCAGAGAGAAGGATTCCAAAACCCAAGAACACTTGGGGGGACCGGGCGCCCGAGCCTTGGCAGTTCCTCTCGTCTACAGCAGAGCATGAAGTCATGTCTGCTCCCCATACCATGTATGGAAGTTTGCCCACATTCTAGCAACCTGCTTGTGATTGAAGGGAGAGAGTGGGCTTGGAGAGCAGTGATGTCGAGCTCAGGGAAGAATCCATCTGTGTCGGCAACCTAAGATCAGGGAGACCTAACACCCACAATGGCAAGTTTCTAAGGGAATCTATGCCCCTGCTTCTAAAAGACCAAGTCTTGGTCCATTCAGCACAGAGCCACAGTCAATTTGGTTCCCTGGATCCTCGTTTTCCTCCACTGCCATTTTCACAAATTTAAATAGTTACTTATTCCTCAAAGGGCTCATCCAGGGATTTTAGATTTTCCAGTTCGTTTTAGTCTACCAGAGACCAAACTTCAGGGCCAGCATGGAATCAAATCCCCAACGATAATCACTGGAGGTCTCTCTTAAATACAGAAGCCCTAGCGGCTAATCATCCTAAGTCCTCTGAAACAGAGGAACCCCAAATTTAAATAGCCTGAAATCACCAAGCAGGGAGAGAAGCAAATAAAAAAACAACAAGAAAGCAGGTTGATCACAGGGATTTTTTTTTTTTTTTTTTTACGCAAATTCCAGGGGACTGAATTGTGGCAGTTTGTGTTAGTTCTAGGTGGCGATAATTGGTGGTTTTATAGAACACAGAGATTCAGAGGTGCTTTCTTACTGCGAGAAGAGATTTCACATTATGTTCGGGACATTAAAAGAGCACCGGGACAGCGTTCAGAAGCCCTGGATCCTAGCCAGGCCTCATTACCCAGGAAACCTTTGCCCAGTCATTTCTTTGCTTTAAAGCTCAGTCTTCTCCTACAGAAAACAAGGATAAGGGTACTTCTGACCTGAATGCTGAGGAGGCGAGGGCCTTGATCAACTGTTTAGGACTACATTTATCTAAGGCTTAATTTTAAGATGTTATTGAATTTTAACTCTGAAAAAAATTGAGTCCACAGATACATACTACAGATGGAAAATCTTAGTGGGTGATTTCAACATAAAGGGTTTTATTTTTTTAACCAGGAATGCCACAAAGGGTTAATAATTACCTATAAAACCCCTGAAGACTAGCAGGGTGATGACAGCTCTGCTTTGAGCCTGTTTTGTATCTCTCTTCCAAGAAAAATAAAGCCATGTACTCATTAACTCCTTCCTCGCAATAATCTTGTCAAGGAGATGGATTGGTGGAGAAGGTAAGAGAGGAAGCTGATGAGTCCAGGGATGGACTATAAGAAGAGACAATTTTGGGATTTCTCTGTCCCCCATTCCAATGTTTGCCTTTGGTGGAGGTGGGGAGACATGTTTCATTGTGCGATCTCTGGTGATTGGAATATTGGCTAATGCCCGGACCATGCCAAGCTGTAGCTGCAGCATTTCCACAGCAAGGATGGCTGTTGCCTGTGGCTCAACGGCAGCCCTCATGTCCCTGCCCTCTTCTACAGCGCAGCACCAACCAGGGGCCAAAGACCACTAGAGTCACCTTCGAACACAAACCGCACGCTTGTCCTTGCCTTATGAATTTGCAGTTTTAACCGGTTCACTGAAAGGGTGAGGAAAGCTTTTGTGGATGCTATGAACATTTCCAAATTCTGAGATTCTGGAGTGATGGTCAGTGTTAGAGGCAGCCTCTTAGCTGCAATGGTGAAGGGATGGACCAATTACATCATCACCAGAGACTGTACCTCTCACCCCCAATCCACCACTGTTCCAATCGTCCCTTGGAGCAGCATGTAAAAGAGGAGGGGGCAGGAAATCAGAGTTTATGCCTTCCTGCCAGCAACTCAGAAGCAACACTTCATTGTGTATAAAGAACAGCACATTTATCCTAACTTACAATAATAATCTTCATGAAGTCATATACCTTCTATTTTTCAAAGCAACGTCCCATCTTAGCAACAGCTATCATTTACTGAGCACTTATTATGTGTGTGTCACTTGGCTGAGTGCTTTATATACTTTCTGCATTGAGGTAGAAGTTGAGAAAAATGCTCAAGGCCACACAAGCTAATCAGTGACAAGGCCAAGATTCCAAGCCAGCTCTGTGGACACCAAAGATCCATTACGACATTTGAGCCTTATAAACTTTGAATATGACAGTTGTTATTGTTCCCCCTTTATAGATGAGAAAGCTGAGGTTAAATGATTGTGTCAAGGTCACACAGGGCCAGGAATAAATAAAACCTTAAATCAAAGTTCCGTCTCAACTGTTGCCACACATGCTTTGTATTCAGTGTACGTCTTAGGAAATGTGTCATGTCTCTTCTTTCTCAAGGATGTTGTGAGGATGGACATAATTCCTTTTCCATACTTGCTAATAGCTTCCCAGAATTTCATCTATGATTAATAAGCTAAAAATTTTAATGATAAAGATATTGGCCTTTTTTCCCACAATACACAGCACTACTTTTATAACAATAATGGTTAATAATTCCTGAGCATTTATGCACTAGACATTGTTTCACATTATGGCTTAATTCCATTGACGTCACATAAGAATTCTATGAGGTAGACAGGCACTGTGAAGATCATCATTTTATAGATGAAGAAACTGAGACTGGTCACTTGACTTACCCAAGCCACATCCTATTTAGAGGATGAGTCAGGAACCCGAAACCTGTGCTAACAGTTAACCCACCACTCTCTTATCACTCTCTACTTGAATTATTTTTTGTGTTTCTCTCTCCTTTTAGACTGGCAGCTCACAGAGTTCAGAGCCTGAATCTTAGCC